AAACTGACACACATTTTCACAACAGCAGGCCAGGTTCTTACTTCTGGCTCGATCAATTTCTTTCCCTGACCAGTTATTTAGCAGCTCATCCTCCCTGCAGTGAGTGAAATGATTTTCCGGGCCACAGTAATTAGGGAGGCTGAGCCAAAGACCTGCAGACACACGGCACTATTCTTAACTTTCACACAAAAAAGTCATCAAAAATGCTTCTTGAGTGCTGCTCCAAAGAAAATGTGGAATGTGGGACAGAAAAGGCTGCATCATTTTTGGCTGAGGTGGTTTCATTACTTGGCAATTTTGAGCTGAATAATTATTTTCCAGGCTTTCAAATTTATATAAAACTTGTCATTTTATCCACATCTTAGACCACAAACTGAAATGCCAAGGTTACATAACCCAACACTGGGTGAGTGAAGAGTCTAAATGTGGTTTGCTCCTTGTACACAAACAATTTAGGGTAGTTTTCTAAGAACAGATCTTTTGGCTGCTTCTTTTGAGGAACAGCATGCTGACACCAACAGTTACTCACATTCACAGTGTCATCTGTTAGACATTTGTGTCACATAGATGGAAATTAAGGAGCTGGTAGAGAAATCACTCTCCGCTCAGTATTACCCTCCATAAACCTGTTTCCCTAAATCTTAATCTACTGCTGACACAACATGAAAGTCTTCATCTGTTACAAAACAGCGCTGCTGGCAGGTGAAATGATCTTTAATTGTTTTGCAGTTTCAGTGGAGAAGTGCACCATGAGTCTTCAGACAGCTAAATCTTCCTGTTTCCCATTTTTTCACGACTTCCACCATCTCTCTAAGCTACTATTTCTTAAAGACATTTTGGACAGTGGAAATTGCAAGCTGGAAGTGCTTTTAAATCTTTTTCATAGCCTTCCCCGGCTTTGTAGTCATAAATTTGTTTCTTCTTCTTCAGAGGAGGAGCCTGTGATTGTTGAATGTTACCACAACGTCTGAAGGCAGTTTATCCCCAACCAGCTCCAAACAAGTCAATTAAATCTTATGGCGTTAATAGAGTTCAGGGACTTTACACATGTCACAATTTTTGTTAAATCAGTTTCGTTTAAAGTCTTGCTTAAACAAAATATGCCCAGTCTTTCACATACATCTCTGAGGATGAGCTAGCAGGGTGCAAATGGAAAGAACATGTGTTCAGCTGCTGGACTGAAGATGGGAGGAGAGTTGTGGTCTAGACAATCGTTCTAAGTCCAGTCAACTGAATCCAATGTCGGCCTCATAAAACACCTCTGAAGCCGCCCAGCCTAATGATACAACTGCCAAATATCCACAGAGGACTTTCTCCGGGCCACTGTGGTCTCAAGGTAATAAAGTGCTCGGTGGCTTAGTGGTAGTGGTAGTAGTGACTAATGCATTCATCCTTCTGTCCTTATTCAGCGGGGTAACTTTAGCTGACATCCATACTGTGTTGGTTTAATTTATGACACTTCCACTTGTTACTGTTGTGATGCTGATTTCCAAACTGCTATTAAAAGACAATCAAAGAGCATTTGCAGACTATGATGCAGTGATTCTGTATTTGTTTGTATTTGTTCAGCTACTAGCAACATTTCTTCTTGTTCAGTACTGAGAAGAGTCAAAATACATTGACTCCTGCAGAAAAGTAAATGTGTGCTTGACTGCTTGTAAACACCATGCATTTTTAATTAAGAAGGTTTAAGAAATATTGAAAAGGTAATAGATTCCCAACCTCATGGCTACAAAAGAACGGTGGTGCAAAAGTATGATTTGTCACAATAAATATTATAAACATATTTGTCACAAATTAAATATGAGCAGGTCAGGCTGTAGGCTGCAGTTTAAGAGTTGAGGTTTAATAAAGCACACAAAATGCTTTAATAATAATAATGGATTGCATTTATATAGCGCTTTTCGGGACCCCTCAAAGCGCTTTACAATACCACTATTCATTCACTCTCACATACTGCTACAGTTGTAGCCACAGCTGGCTTGGGGCGCACTGACAGAGGCGAGGCTGCCATATGGCGCCATCAGCCCTTCTGGCCATCACCAGTAGGCGGTAGGTGAAGTGTCTTGCCCAAGGACACAACGACCGAGACTGTCCGAGCCGGGGGCTCAAACCGGCAACCATCCGATTACAAGACGAACAGCCAACTCTTGAGCCACGATCGCCCTGAAGCCTTTAGCAGAATCTGTGGTGCAAAATGGTGATAAAGGCATTAAAAAAGGAAAGCGAGTTAAAAGAGAGTTTTGAGGGCTAAACTGGGAATTGCTGCGTAATTTAGTTGCTTTTTAGTTGAACCTGTTAAATGTGTTCCAGGGGGATTTTTCTTTTATGCTGAAAGCAGCAACAACAACGCTGATATTTTGAAAAAGTTAGAAATCACACCTTACATAGCGCAAGTGCACAAACTAACCAGCGTATGCAATATAGAGATTCAATCTATATGCCCTTAAATCTCCACACCTGTGAGGCAGCTGTGACATTCATGGATCGCAGTTGATTTCCACACTTACAAGTGGCACTCTGTGGATGGCTGCTGCAGCTCCAGCATGTTTCTCCGCACTTTATGCTATTGGTGCAATTTGTTCAGCAATGAATCAGCGTCTGGTGAACTTCTATGGATCAGTGGTTACATTTTTTTCCAGTTGTTTTTCAGCCTCCCACCATATTGATCCAGAACGAGGAAAAGCCAGAGGGAAATCAACTGCCTCTTGTGCTACCTCATATATCAGAAAGCTGAAGTAATAAGCACAAGTGTAGCATGATGAATCGTATTCAGTATGAATCACACCATGACTTGATGTATCGATTTCTCCATGACTGAGCACTTTTTTGGTGTCCCTGTGTGGCAGGTGGTACTTGAAGACCTTGGGCTCAATAGATTCTGCAGTGGGCAGCCTTAATCATAAACCTAGTAGGGTCATCATGTTGTCATCACTCTACACCAGTTTTAAGAGCTTGATAAAGTGCTTGTGCAATCTTTGTCCATTCTCAGTGACACCAGTGTTGGCCTAGTAAATCCCTTTTTTATTCACAGGCACGTGTGTTTGTGAGAGACATTAAAGTCTCTTTTGCTTCTGAGAGTCAGTTTGGTCCACAGAAGAAATATAAACGGCCGTGGCTACAAAGACAAATCTCAACACATTGGAATTTCATTCACACAGTATTAACCAAAGAGACTGATAAGCACAGACTCACTGCATAACGAAGCAGGCTGGGACGCTGCTTTAGGACATGTAGAAGCTGCTGGTGTTATGACTCAGATTTCTGTGCTTCTAAAAGTCATGTTTCTGGTGTTGAAACACAATAGATGCCATTTTTTAATCTGCTTTCAAAACACACATGGAATCAATTAATTTGCACATGCTAAAATGTAACAAGGCTGAATAGACACATGAGTTTAGGTGAGAAACTGGGAAAAAAATTCGAAAACACAACTTTTTATGTGCAGTTTTGAAGAGGCTGAAGCTTTTTTAAGTGTGGAGCAGAAGATAAATACATTCTAGTAACAAAGTTTGCTTGAACATATCTCTCGCTTGCAGAGCATCTGTTCAGTTACAGCCAAACAGATGATTATTAACACGATCCCCCCCACATACATGCTCAGAACTGCCTGGCCTGAATGCCGAGTGCTGTGACAAAACACTGCCAAGTTTCATTTCATTTCAAACTGCAAATGTTTTATGCAAATTGAGTCACTTTGTGGTCTGTTTAAAATGTATTTCTCTCAGCACCCAAAGCAGAGATGACTGAAAGGGATGATTCATCAAATCTGACTCCAAACCTGGCATTTAAAAAACATTTTAAATGGTTTTGAAAGAAACAATTGCATTTCCTGTTTTTATGATAAGAGTGAAAGTCTTATAATACGCTCTGCTGCTCTGATATCCATGAATCTTGGATGGATCTTGGATAGTTCTGCAGAGTGAATTCATGTATATTTCATCTGTGCCGCTTCTAAACAGGTGACCAGCTGACACCAGTTCCCACGAAAGCCCCCAAATTAATAAATCAGCAGGTGTGCTGTGACTGTGTTGGCTTTAGATCTCGATGAGACAGATCAAATTCTTCCTGACAGAATGGATTACTTTCTCTGTCTCTACCTACACACGACTAGCCCAACACACACACATGCCGGCATATATATATATATATATATATATCTTCGTGCCTATGTGCAAAGCCAGCTCAGGGAATTCAGCTCACCTCCCTCAAACTCTGTCTGACAGTTGCCAGAGTTTTCCTTTAGGCTTTCTTCCTCATTGATGATGATGTTCTCAATGTCCTTCATGGTGAGGTGGTCACGGAAGGCGCAGAACAGGATGTGTTTCAGCTCCTCCAGGGTGATTCTCTGCATGTCGAACTGAGGGAGAAAGAGATGAGGAGGAGATTTTTAAAAAGAAAGAGACCATTTTCCCTTCACATAAATAAGCTTGCCGTACGTGCCTGGCAGGGTAGTGCGTGACACAATCCTTCCACTAGGAGTTCCACTAGACTGCAAACCTCAATAAAACATTACAAATACAGTCTCTATCGCCCTAAGCTGTGGAGTACAAAAAATAAAAAAAGAAATCTGAGTAGATTTTTGCTTAGGGCGACTTACAATAAGTGATGTTCCCTGTAAGAAAGGACAAAAAGTTCAAATGAATAAATCACTCTTCATGTTCCAGTACGTCCCTGTACATCTTACAGATGTCACTCCTATACATTTACTTTAATCTGAGCATTGCGTAACGCTGATGCATTGATTAAATTGAATGAGGTAGAGTTATGTTCAAAGAGTGGCTGATTTATGGTTCTGTTTGAGTGTTTACAGACACACCCACTTTTAAACCAGAGGTGTCTGAAGGTCAGATCAAGAAGATCTTGCTGGCGAGCGATGCTTTGCTGGAAAGCAGTGCTTTACTTAGGAGCAGTAGGATAATTTAATTTACTTTTTATTCTGCAACAAGAAAAGCTTCAGAGCCGGACTATGATACAAACCTGACTCATAATGAAATCACAAAGAGCAGTGAGTCCCGAGCCAGTTGCGAGGACAGCGAGTTCCTCTGAATTCGTCTAAACGCTTGTATAAACTCACTGATATTTACTTTCAACAAAGGCAACGTATATTGTTCCTATATTGATGTTGTGTCCATTGTGCACACTGTAGGAATAAAAATTTGGTAACACTTTTAGTTTATAGAGCTACAGAAAAGAATGAATGGATTAAGAAAGTCATGGTAAAAGCAAAATGCATCTGCTTTCATAGGTTTCATGTATCAGGATATTACAAAATTATTCTGGTCTTAAATTTTGGTAAGTGCAGCATCAGATTAACAACAGATAACATATTACACCATGTCATTAAGTATTAAGTATATCCTTACTGCCTCCATGGGAATCAAGACATGAGTAGCTGCCAGATGCTGCTAATCAAATTCGCTTTAATTAACTGATCATCAGCAAGTGTGATCACCTCTATAGAAGCAGATATTTTAGCAGTTTGCAGGTTTGGTGGATTCAGGTGTGTGCCAACACAATGCTAACGAGGAAAGATATCAGTAATTACCTTACAAGTAAACTGAAGTCCATCATTCTGCAGTGAGAAAGATTATTTAAGAGTTACAGTCGTTCAGTCTTAGTTATGCTTGATCTCACCACTGCCTTTCGACACTCTTGATTATGATATTTTAATCCAAAGCCTTCATAACTGCTTTTCATCATATCTAAGGACCAGAACATTTTATGTTTCAATTCAATTATTATTTTTAGATCTGCAAAAATAAAAAATTGAGGGGTTCCGCAAGGGTCAATTCTTGATCTGCTACTCTTTAAACTTTACACACTCGCACTTTGTACTATCATAAAGAAATCATAATATATCTTACCATTCTTATGCAGAGGATATTTATCTGTATCAATCTATAAAATGCACATTATATGCATAGATTTTTTTGTCAGTGTACTATTTCATGTAGAAGAGTGTGAGCTCTACTCTGGAGGAGTACTCTGTTTTGACAGTCTCTCTGTAGCTCTGCAGAAACCAGAAATATTTGTTGTCGTTCCAAAAATGCATTCATATTTATCCCCCCCCCCACACACACACACACACTTCAAAACATATTGAAAGTTTGAAAATTCTCATCTCAAACTGGGAAAATGGTCCACGCATTCATTTCAAACAGGTTAGACTACTTTACTCAGTGGTTATCACCTTTGCCGCTGTTGTCAAATACCATGGCCTTGAACACATCAGGTGGTTAGGCCTTTTCTCTGTTATCTGTATTACACACTCACCGCGGTACCCAGGACATGCATGGATGGGAACTGCCCCAGTATGACCCTGAAGTTGATAAGCTGTGTAACAACAGCTGAGCCAAATCAGTGGAGCATAAAAAGCTACGACAGGCAGAAGCACAAGGAGATCTAGGAAGTCAACGTTAACGGGACACCAGCTCTGTCTTCATTAAAATAGTAGCAATAACAACAATGATAACAGTGAAATAATTGCAAAAGTTCCACTGTTATCTTTATAAACCTAAAAAAAATTAAGCAGAAAACTCTGTTATATTAAACCAACCAAAAATTAAAAAAAAAAAAAAACGTAATTAATTAACATAAATAATTAATAACAAAATACAACATCAGCCCAAGTCATTCTATTACAAAATAATTTCATTTTACCTGCTCTGTGGCCTCATATGTGTTAGTATGGAGTGCACAAATTCAAACTGTGACACTAGTACAGTAAAATGACCAAATATGACACATCAATTTGTAATAAACATATAATCTTTTTAGATAAGGAATCATGTCTCATCAAGTCTCATGAGCTGAATGAGTGTTAATCCTGGTCTCCTGCTTTTATTTGAATTTATGAGACCGAACAGTGCAGAGGGATAGACAGGAAAGTGGGGAGAGAGTGAATGACCTCGGGCTACAGCAGTCCCCGATCTGTCTTCTTTAATGCAGACCTGCTAGTGAAGAGAGAGTGAAGTATGTGCGTGAGGAAACAATAAGGTTCAAATACCTGGTAATATCAAAAATATGCAATCAACAATGATCCCATTCTTTTAGCAAAAACAGGAAATAAGATGATGGAAAATACAACATCAATAAGCATTTACATAAAAAAGAAATGTAAATGCGTATTCACATTTTTGATGATCATAAAAGGCTCTCACTGAACATGTTGTTTTGAAACTTTGTGAACGAGGTGAGAAACACCACATCTCTCTCTGCTATACAAATACAGTTTTTATTATTAACATAATTATTAGTATAAACAGAAAGGTTTCCATTCTGGTTCAGTCAAGCAACTCCAGAGAGCTTCTTCACAGACCATATATATATATATATATCTACATCTATCTATGTATCTAATCTATCTATTCATTCATATAGAGTTTATATGATTTACTAAATTTATCCAGCTTCTCAACACATTTGATCTCAGTTTACAAACACCAAATCCAGATTGTGTTTGGTGCACTCGGTGATATTATGATGAATGACACTCGTCCAGAGAGTGAAGGATAACATTCACTGGACTTTCTGGCAAGCCCACTGCATAAATCACACTTGGACACTTACCATCGATGAGATTTGTTATCGCTCAGCCTTCTCAGAGTGAGCTAATGAACACTCGCACCAATCACACCTCAAATGTTAATCAGCCTTCATGAAGATTCATTATCAGAGGTAATTAAAAATTTGGGTCAATGTTTCGTCTTTTGTTTGCCGGCTCATTAATCAAAGGTGAACGTAAATGTAAATGTTGGCAAGACAAAAGTAAAATATAGTTATGCAACAATAGACTAATAAATCACATACATTGTGAAATGTAATTTAAAAGCAGGTACAGTTAATCCAGTGGAAATGTAAATATAACAGTGACAGAAAACATAAACCCATAAAAAGAAGGTACAGTTACTAAATATTTCCCCTGAAACCACCAGTACAACTAAAGGTTTATACCAATACAACAACTGATACTTCAATATTCTTCAGTTATTTGATTTTCTTCATTTTACTGCATTTTTGTGAAAAGACAGAAGGAGCAACACGATGCATCACCTGGTTGAACAGGTGACCCATGCTGTGCAGGCTTTAGTCCTTAGTGCTGCACTGCAGGTTCGAGGTTGCTCCAGGTGCTTTTCTATGTGCCATTCCCCCTCACATACAACCCATCTGCCTTTCTACTCTATACTGTGTAAAAAAAAAAACTGATAAAAAAAGAAAATAATAAAATTTATCAATCATTTAAAAGAATAACACAGTAAGCAGAAAAAACTATGATGACCACTGAAACTCAAACACTGACTCCTTGTTGACCACCAAACTCAAAGTTTTCTACATTAGTATTGAACATACTTTTCAGATAATAAAGAGCCCCACAGTTCAGTATTGACAAACATAAACAAACACAAACTTTTTGTGAGACTAAATAGAGTATGGCATTAGTTTAGGCAGGAAACAAAGTCGAGCTCAGCCCATAATCCCAGCCGTTCAGCTAATACTCTTCCAAGCAACCAACTAGCGAATCTCAAACAGAGCCATGCATCTGCAAGCCTCATCACAACCCATCATTCTCCTTTGTATGTGTTAGACTTGATCATTTTCATGCGCCTGCTCTCTTCAGGACACTGCTGCTGCTGTGGTCCTAACTGGAAAGCTCATACAGCAACAATCCCACATCAGCCACCATGTACAGCAGCATAAAAAGATGTTTTGCCTCCTGTTTCAGAAATGGATGCGATGTTTCACAGACTGCAGAGCTCTGTTTATTTCTCCTCGCATCTCCCTCTGGAAAACAGAGAGAGGATCTGTACTAAACAGACAGATCTACCTGGAGTGCCCCTGCAGCATCTGCCACTTAAAGTTACTGCCAACTTTTGTGTTACTTCCCCCCCAAAGGAAAAGGTCGGCAGCCTAATTGTGTTTACCCAACCTTTATGCGGCCTCGCTTCCCAATAAAGACGGCATCGCTGGCACCCATCAAGAGACTGGCAGAACTTCATTTGCCAAGAAAAAGAGGGATGAGCCAGAGGATAGCTCTATTCACAGAGCACTACAGTAGAAGATAAGAAAAAGCCATTTTATTTTCATTTCCCATATCCCACAGACTTTCTCAACCTACATTCACATTCAAGCATGGACTGACCTTTATGGAGAATATGGTGAAAGAAAGGGGAGTAGAAAAGAATTACACACCTGAACCTAAAGTGACTCCCACAGAAAAGACCTTTAGTAGGACACCCAGTGGTTTGTGACCTACAGCTTCATACTGGAGCCCACGCTGGAAACCTTCAGTCTTCTTTGTTACACATTCTCCTAAGAAGTTCAGTCTGAAGTGCAATCACATGCCTCAGGCACAGAGAA